TTTTTTTCTGTCTTTTGATTAGAAATTATTACACAATTTCAATATGATGATATGCAAGTTAATTATTATAGCTTTTTCAGATATGAGTAATTTGTTTCTCACATGATTTTATCTATTATTTTTTTTTGTGACAAAAATTAAATATGAATATTGATAACATCAATCTTTCGATAGAAGATGAGTCTAGTGACGAAATGATTACCTTGTGTTCTTTATAGCAATACTTGGATGGATCGATTTTATCTGAAAAAAAAATAATAGTGAAAATAAAAAAAAATAAAAATGAGAGCATATGAAGAATCAATCAACCGTAACTATGAGATTGAAAGGAGACAAATGTATAATTAATATTATTTACATATATATGTATACTGTTATGGAGAAATATCTGCTGACGTTAATATTGTTATCTATTAAAAAATAAACTAGGACTAACAGATGGTATATTCTTGATAGGAACGATTTTACATCATAATTATTGTTATTTAAATAAAAATTTTCAAGTTTATTTAAAAATTTTTATTAGTAAATTGTGTTATTTGAAATAACGCCATCTTCGATGAATAATTAAGAATTAAATTATACTGTTTTGCATTAGCAGAATAAAAATAAAAGAAGATAGTTAGCTTTACATAAAATATTGGAAAAAAAAGACACCTAAACATATATAATTATAAAATCTTCTTCTAAAAATTATTGAATAAGGAATAAATCTTTTGGTTTTATTTGGCGTTATTTCTTGGAAGCTTCAGTAGCCATGCTACTATTTGGTTTTTCACAAATGTGAGAATCACATTTCGATGATGCTCTGTCTGGCTGATGTTCATTTCGTTTAAGTTTGAATGTTTGACAAATGATATTACACACATGTGTTTGAAAGAATCTTTTTATACCAGCTTTACCAAGATTTGTTCGACCAAATCGTTTAAGATCAGTTGCATGTATACATGGATCAGTTAATAAATAGGTTTGATGATCACCAATATCAATACCTTGTAAATCAACAACAATCATTTCACCATTTGTACGTTCATATGTCCAATGTGAAAATGCTTGTAATGTTAATGCTGGATCTTGATGATTAACATATCCAATATTATTTGAAAATTTCTTATATGCACCTTCGATGAATCTTTCCATCGTATAGTAACGAAATTTACCTTCGTTACCTTGAGGAACAAAAACTAATTTTGTCATTATGAATTTAATTTTTTTGATCATAGCTGTTGAATTAGTAGCTGGTGATACTTTATTAAATTCTTGAGCAAGATAATCAGCAACTGTTTGACAATCTAACATTTCTAAATACATTTCCTTTGTATTATCACCACCTGTAACGCCTTTATATTCTTTAAAAACAACTTTTCCCCATATATCTTTATATTGTAATAAACCATAATATGCTAAACGTAGGGCACCTTCTGCAAATGGACTATCAGCAATTTTAATATTTTTTGATTGCATCATTTCTTCACAATTTAAATCAGAATTACATTCATATTTAACAACTTGTACTTGTTTAGGTTGTATACGTGTCCATGTTGGTTCTTTTCCATCAAAAACTATACTACGACGAACACTATTTTTTGCTAAACTTTCTGTACTAAGAGGATTTTCACTGTTTACAGCATAAGTTTTCATTATTGATGATGTTTTCTTTGAAATCGATCGTGTTACACTATCAAAAATAAATGGTAATAAATTTTGAAATTTTTCAAGATGAAATTGTTGTATTGCCGTTTTATCTGATGTAGATTTAGCAAATTGTTGAATCATTTTATCGGTAAGATTTGTTAAACGTCCAAAGAAATATTTTACTCGTAATTCAACTAATTGTTGAATACAATTAGTTCCAATTGATCCATCAGCATCATGACTCAAATAAAAATCTTGATCTTCAGGTAAATTATGATATCGTCGACCATGTGATGGACAATCACTAACATGGATTAAAATCCGAACAGCTTGTTTCCAATTAAGGCCTATTGTTTTTTGTAAACCACCAAGAACATCTTCACAAACATCACCACCATATTCACATTTAACTGTTGAAACAAATGAATAAAATTCTTTTTCATCTGTAAAATCTAATATACTAAATTGTTTGTCTGGAGTTAAATTGAAATCTCGATAACCAACAAATGCCAAACGTATATTAAAAAATGAGAAACGTGATTTTAATAATTTCACTGTTTCAAATATACGATCTTTAACTTCTTGAATATATTTTTGCATACTATTCGTACAATCCATTAGAAAACAAACATCAACTGATTCAGCATCATTAAGTGATTTAATAAGTTCATTAATTTCTTTTGTACGTTTAACAACAAAATGTAAATGATCTTGAGCTTCCATTTGTTGTTGTGTAGTAGCCGATAATTTTGCAACAGTTTCTTTTTGTAATACATCACATTGTTTCTTTATATTTTCTAGAGAAATATTTCCACTAATATTATTTTTTTCATTACGTTCTATGGCATCCAACTGACGACGAAGAGCAGCTACATCGGATAATGTATTTACTGCACTGACAATTGTGACAGATGTCTTATCCATTTTATTCTGAAAAGAAAAACTCGAATAAATATAAAAATAATTTATTATCAATTTTTGATACAATCAGGATATTCTTTTATATTGTAAGTTATGGTCGATGATTGTAAGAAAATTACTTCGATCAAAACGAACTTTTCAAACATTTCATTTTATATTTTTTTATTAGAAATTATTACAAAATTTTGACAAAACGATATGCAAGTTAATTATTATAGTTTCTCACATGATTTTATCTGTATATACTTTTTCTTATGAAAAAAATAATAAAATATACATGTTGATGGTATCAATCTTGAGTCTTGTATTAAAATTTCATTTATGATGTTGATGAAATGATAATTGATCGCGGAGATTCATGTATAAGAGAGTACCTATGAAAACTTACTGCAATTAATTTATCTAGTGTTGTTTGTCGTCATATCTGAGCAAGATAGATAATTAACGGGTCAGATGAAAATATTTTAATGAAGAAAACAAATCAAACATATGAGAAAAAAAATACAGTGAAGTAGAAAAATAAAAATGCATGGTGAATCAATCGACCATAACACCTTATACATAGAAATAAGATACTAACAGAAATGAAAAAAGGTATCATTGATAATTTTGTATAAAAGCATGCATATATGCATCGTCATATAGAATGACAGCTGATTCAAATATCTTTATTATGTTGTGATGAGTCATTTTAACTGAGGAAAAAATACAGAAAATATGAATAGCTTAATAAACATTAGTTTGGAAGTATTTTTACCAGTCGAAATTTTAAATGAAACATCATCGATCATAAAAGCATCAGATAAACCACAGATTCGTATTATGAGAGATGACGAACTTCGACAATAAAATTTATGATAAAATATATCTTTAATTACATATTTAGTCAGAACATTTGATTCAAGTTTATATTTTTTTAATATTTAATTTATTTTCTTCTAAAAAACGATAAAAGAAATGAATGTATACATGAAAAAGAACAGAA